TCAACAATTGTTCAACATATATTACAAAAATGTTGAACGTATAATTCAAAATTGTTCATGATATATCACCAAAATGTCCAATGTCTATTTAAATATTGTTCAGCTTATATCACAAAAAAGTTCAATGTGTAGTTCAAAAAATGTTCACCCTTTATGAATAAAAAATGTTTAATGTATATTTAATAAAATTTTCAGCGTATATCACAAAAATATGTGTATTCTAAAATTGTTCAGCATATATCAAGAAGTTCGAGTGTATTTAAATTGTTCGTAGTATTACAAAAATGTTCAATGGTCGAAAAGTTTCAGTTTTTTCTGGATCTGCCAACCCGTGAGTTCATAGAAGTTTGCGCGGCCCACTAACCACGAAGACTTGGCAGCTCAACTGGTTGAGAACGCTGACCTGCTATCGCCTGGTTACGAGTTCGATTCCTCGTGTGATCTTTGTTTTCCTTTTATTTCTAGTACCGTTTTTGCCATGATGCCATCCAATGGGCCGGCCCATTTAGATCGCGGCTGCGCGGAAGCTCGTCCTTTTGACGCTAGCGAGCGCCTACGCGTGGCCTGCTATGCTACGCACGCCAACCGCCGGAATTCCCTATTAGACGCACGTTGCATCAAAGTATCGACCTTTCTCACATAGACCTGGTGTTCGAGCGATGACTTGGGCCGGCCCATTAAAGCGTTGCAGCGATTCTGGTTTTGGGAACCTTCTAGAGTTTCCTGGCCAGTTTTTCTAGTTTTGGGAACCTTCTAGAAGGTTCTTCGAACCGGGTTTTCTGTTTCTTTTTTATTTTTATTTTTTCTGTTTATTTTTGTTCTTTGTTCTTTCTTTTTTCTTTACTTTTCCTTTTGCTGTTTATTTTTTCTTTTTGTTTATTTTTCCATTTCTTCCATTTTTTTTCTTTTTCAAGTTGATATTTGTTTTTTTAATTAATTTTTTAGATTTTCAAAAATGTTCACCTTTTAAAATATGTTCACAAATTCAAAAAATGTACATGACTTTCAAAAAATGTTCATGTATTTCAAAAATTGTTCACAAACTAAGAAAATGTTCATATTTCAAAAAAACTTCTGGAATTGCAAAAAAAGTTTGAGGTTGCAAAATTTAGTCTGAAATTTCAAATATGTTCGCATTTGAAAACATGTTCAGGAATTTTAAAAAAAATCGTGGTTTCAATTTTTTGTTAGATATTTCATGAAGTCCCATTTTCAAGTTTTGTTCACAAATTCAAAAAATTTACAGGACTTTCGAAAAATGTTCATGTATTCCAAAATTTGTTCACAAATTTAGAAAATGTTCATATTTCAAAAAAACTTCCGGAATTGCGAAAAATGTTCGTGGTTGCAAAATTTGGTCTGAAATTCAAAAAAATGTGTGCGTTTGAAAACTTGTTCAGGAATTTTAAAAAATGTTCGTGGTTTCAATTTTTTGTTAGATATTTCATGAAGTTCCATTTTCAACTTTTTGTTCAAAAATTCAAAAAATGTTCAAGGTTTCTATTTTTTATAGTTTCATGAAATGTTCCATTTTTCAAATCTTTGATTAAAAACTGAACAAAAAAATGCGTTTTAAAATTTGTTCGTTACTTTAAAGAATGGTTCTCGTTTTTCAAAAACATTTTCCGCGGTTTCAATTTTTTTGTTTGCATATGCAAAAAAATGTTCCCGTCTACGAAAATTTGTTCTAAAATTAAAAAATTGTTCGCATTTTTTCAAAATGCACACCTTCAGAAAAAATGTGCACTTATTTTTAAGATGTTCCCCTCTACAGTAACTAATTGTAGTTCAATAGAGTAGACATGCCCGGTTGTACGGTTGTGCTAAGTTATTTCAGATGCACACTATTCTACTGCAAGCAATGCTTGTCAGTTGGAGTGGCTGGGAGCACGCGTTCCTAAGTCAGTTGGAGTGGCTTGTCGGTCCGAACCCTGCCATCACACCTACCTCTCTTTTTTGCTTTCGTTTCCTTACAACGGTATAATGCAATGGGCCCGCACAGTCAGGCTGTTCCCTGTGCGCGGCGACGCCAGTTTGACGCAAAGAGCGTCCAATAGGAGCTCCCTTTGCCGCCGTCTGCATGTTACCGATCCGATCTCGACGAAAGTCGAACATATCAAGGATTTTCGCTGTACACTGCACTGACGACGTCTCCAGATCACTTCCGTCCACTGCGACCATGTTGACAATAATCATGACATCGAATCTTCCTTCTCTAGATGAACGCCTCACACCTAGCTCTGATATCTCCTGTTAGAATAAGACCGAGGCGCACAATCAATTATCAAGGACCAAACAATCACACCAACACGACATCAAAATTTGTTAACGACTTTCAGCGATATGTCTACATCCCGGGGCATGACTACGGGCACTCCTCCGCGTGACACCGACACAATACTGTGACCGGCCACCCGGGCGCCGGCACACGCCGCGGGCTCCTCCTGTTTTGTTCGGTTCGGTTCTCTCCGCACGTGTCTGTGCATGCTTTTCTCCCTTAATTTTCTGACGATGATCGGCTCCGTGAGTGCGCGTGTCGACATGCAGGGGTGGAGGGCGTGGCCATGGAGGTCGACAAGGGATCCATGACTATTGTCGGCCCGCTTCGATGCCAAGAAGCTTAGGGACCGCGTCGCCTCGAAGACCAGGAAGAAGGTCTAGCTCGTCGGCGGCAAAGACAACAAGGGTGGCGGTGGCGGTGGTGGGGACAAGAACAAGTGCGCCGACGGCGAGGGCAAGCAGGTGCCTGAAAAGAAGGAGGAGGAGAAGGAGCAGATTGACAAGTGCGGCGGCAATGTCGAGAAGGGGAAGGCGGCAAGGACAACAATAAGCCAGCCATGGTTTGTCCTTGAATCCTATCTATTCTCTCCAGTCGACTCGCATCATGTCCCGCTCTCATCTGTTGCAGCGTTTTGCTGATGAGATTGTTCTGCTCGACTGATCGTTCGATTTGGTTCATGGCAGCCGGTGATCGTCACGGTGGTGCTCACCGCTGGCTTCCACTGCGCCGGCTGCATGCACCGCGTCCGCTGCAAGCTCTTCAAGATCAAAGATTCAAAGGTATCCGCAGCTCCTCCTCCACTTGCCTCGTCATGCATGCACGCTAGGTTCTCGACCGAATTCCCCGTCCGTGCGCATTCACATCGCCGAGCACGCAAATGCCAAGGGGATCCAACCTGGTCCAGGGCGTGTTCGGCTCCCTCGTCTCGGCGACGGCTTCACCTGCGTGCTCGAGACCGGCTCCTCCTCCGCGGCCGCTGCTGGGGCCGCGTGGTAGCGCCGTGCAGGCGGCCTTCGCCAACGCCTCTGTCTCGTCACTCGCCGCGGGGGGCTCCCGAGCGTGCGGCATGGTGTCTGCTTGGTGCTCTGCTCCAGCTCGGGCGCAGGCGTGCTCCCACAGAGCGATCTCGGTCCCCACAGGCTCGCCGTCAGCGACTCACACGCATGCGGGCTCCGCGGCGCAACCACACCGCAGTGTGCTGGAGCCGAGGACACCCTTTTATTTCTCCCACTCCGGCAGCCAGCTGACAGGTGGGGCCTTGTGTGCACGGATTTTTTGCAAAATGTGATGCCACGCCGTGGGACACAGTCATCGCCGCGTGGCGATTGACCGGTCAACCATGTGCCAGTCAACGAAAAACGTACAAAAAATCGTACATGGACCGTCCTTTAACAAGTTTAGCGACCATATTTGAGGTATTTTACCATGCAAAAAAATATTTGTGTATTTTGAAGTACAGGTATTAAAGTGGGTTCGAGCGCAAGTTTAGGGATCACAGATGAAATTTTGTCATCCACATTATGCTGAAGAAAAAAGCTAATCCACTTTGTACTGCCTGAAAATAAAACTAATTTACAGTAGAATATACTACTTACCTTGGCGACATATTTTTATAGAAGAAACAACTTGAGTCCGAGACTTGAATCTAGGTGGGCTCACTGCACACCCGCACAGCTTACCAACAGAGCGACACTACGTTTTCCAAACATAGTTATAATAACTTGGAAATTCATCAGGGCTTCTCCGCACAAACAAATAATGACTTGGAAATTCAGCAGGGTTTCAACAACATAACTAACTTGGCAATCCAGCAGAAGTTCAAGAAATAAAAACCCGGGAGATTCAGCAGACCACGACAGTACCAAGGGAATGCCACTAGTGAGCATCCGACAGATTACTGCTGCACAGGATTACAGCAGCATACACACACAAACAAATAACAAAACGGAGGAGAGGCGAAAGCATCGCTCCAGGCACAACTGAAGGCCGTCACTCAGTCAGTGGCGACCCAGCGGCCTGTTTCTGCGGTCTGATCCAGTCCTGCAGCACCAAGGTGACCCTGTCGTGCTGCTTCACGGAGGAGCCGTGCAGGAGTGGGGCGGAGCCGGCGAGGACGCAGTTGTAGTGGACGTACACCTTGTGCCGGAACCTCTCCTGCTCGGGCAGCGTCATCTCGTCCCACTCGGCGTGCAGCTTCTCCGACAGGCTCCAGTCGATGTTGTACCTGGTGGCACCGAAGCAAGTCTGGCTCAGGACCCGCCTCGCAAGGGTCTGCAGGTCGGGCACGCGAGCCCCGTGCGTCGACCACCATTCAACTGCAATGGGGTGAGAAACGTGGTAAGAAGATAGTAATTCATGTAGTATGATGTGAACTGATGAATGAAATAGTGATGATCTCAGTGGGGGTAAGTTTGGGTTTGAAAGTTGAAGTGAAAACAGAAGAAAAGAAGGCTCCTGTACAGTTAAAGCAGACCATATACCCCAGTTTGCAACTTGCAACATACTCCTGTGCTATAGAAATGCAGTTGAGAAGCTAGGCTGTTGCAGAGAAGTAATCGTCACATTCATCGGTTAACCTTTTAACTTCTATGCTACTATTATTTAAAACAACCATGTTGATAAGTTAGTCTAATGCAGAGCAGTCGAACATTCTACACATGCTGACTTCAAATACAAGTGCATTTTGACATGGTATGTTTGTGACATGTTCACATACTAACTAAATATGTTTGGCGCACTGTATGTTACAGTGCACAAATGCGCATATCAGATTACCTGGAGGGCCTCGTGACACTATTCCAGCTCGCTCTAAAGATTCAATACAAGTACATATGATTAGGGAGTAGGCATTTTGCAAGAGGTTAGGGTGTAGCTTACCTTGTGGTAATTCCATGATTTGCTGCATTGCTGGATCTGTGTCGAAATAGCCCAACTTCTTCTCATACACTTCCAATTGTGCAGATGCTTTAATGGCATTGTAATGAGCCTTGCCCAGTTTGGTTGTACAGGCCGCGATGCCGCTGCTGATCTCAGTATCAGGCTGGAATCCAGCTGTGTAAAAGATCTTTGGGTTTAGCATCTGACCGGCAGCATGGAGAGGACTATGCAAGTAATCATCCCATATCCTATCAATCATACACCAATAAAAGTCACCTTCATCTCCGATATTGAGAGATATCTCTTCTTTTGCTCTATCCATGGCTTCATACAAGATACCCATCGGACAGATATCATATTCCAGTTTATACAACACACTGACAAGTGGGTCTGTAACCTTGACGACTTCTGCAGCAGCATTCCAAAATTCATCATCTGTCTTTACTATGCTCTGGATACGCTTGAACAAGTCAAGACAAGCCCAACCAGAGGAAACCCATACAGGCGAGTTTAACATCTGCACCAGATCTCCTCTTGCAGAAACTAACCTCTCTAATATGATGAACATTGCCACAAATTTTAAATAAGAACTGCTCAAAATCTCCTCCTGAACATACCTTCCTTTCAGTTTCATTGGCAGTGCATGGTCATATAAAAACCTTGTAATTTCCCTTGCCTTCATTAGGACTTCACTGACATGCTCGAGCGCTGCTATTTTCTCAAGCAGAAGGTTGATGCAATGGTCAGCACATAGTGTGAAGAAGAAACTATCATATTTATTTAGCACATACTGCCGTGCCATCTGCATATGGGGTGACACATCATTCATGACAATCTGAACAATGTTATGGGCACCAACATCTTCAACCACGCGAGAAAGCATTGATTCTAGCTCATCAAAGTCCTCAGTGATTTCAGAGGTGTCAATGGATCTAAGGAACAGCGTACCTTTGCTGCAGTGCACCAGGACACTTACGAAGCTTTTGGTACACTTGCTCTTCCAACTATGCACAATTACAGTGCAGCCACTTGTTTGCCACTCTTGCTTGAGTTCCTTTGCGCGGTTCTCAGTTTCTCTTAGTTGCTCCTGCAGAACAGCTTCGTACGTAGGCATTACAGCCCAAGGCCCATGGGAAAACACAACCATCTCCCTCAAAGATGATGAATGGAGAACACCAGGCTCAGGTGCAGCTTCGGAGAAGAACTTGCCTATTGACTTTGCCGACTGAGAATCGGAATCACTTGTCTCAACCTTGGGTTTCGGTTGACAAGAACTATATGTGATTTCCTTGGCCTGCGTCAGATCCGGTTGATAATGAACAAAGCAGCGGTTGTTATTGGACACAGTTGGTTGTAGCTGTGGTTGCTGGACTTGAGGAGATGGAAGGGCTGGGCTTGTGTGAGGAACCTCATCATATTCTTGCTTCAGTCTCTTCATTTTTCCGAGCATCTGATCTTTCTTGCGATCCACAAGTGAACCCCTTAAGCTTGTCCTGACACTGTCCGGTACTTGGTTGCATGGACGAACATTGCCCCTGATGCCTGCTAAATGTTCCTCTAGACGGCTGTAACTACAAACCACCTCACCGCAGTAATTGCAGCTCATTCTGCTGCCTTCCTCATCAATGGTTTTGCCATGCCTTTCTTTTCCATGATTACTTGTCTGAGGACCTTGTGCGGAAAAAACCTGAAGAAAAGCAATGAGAGATACTTCAGTAGTGCAAAAATTAAAATGTCAAATTCCCAAAACATGAGTGCAACATTTCACCAATGATGAGATTTCATCTGCTTCCTGTTAATGACAGCACATAATGTACTGCTATTGATGAATTTACCACATGTGAACAGAGAAGACTGTGATCCGACTAAACACTGTATCTTAGAATTTTAAACATAGTGTCACTGGGTGAAACAGTTTGTTCTGTATTTTTTTCTGATAAAGAACAGTTTGTCTGTATAACTCTTCAAGAAGAGCACAGAGAGGCGTGGGCAATGGCTCATAGTATATTTACCAACAGACTGAAGGCAAGAGCTTCACAAATTACAAGTTCAGGGCAACAAATCTCTGGGCACCGATGCAATGAATTAACAGCAACTTCAACAGGGCAGTCAACAATTGGCCATTTTCACCATGGTACACTCCAGAAACATGTAACTGTAACTAGATTAGACAGTTGTTCCTCACAAACAGACTAAAAATTCGATGCTTACAATCCTAGGATTCAAATGAACCATCGGAAATAGGCCGGTGTAAATAAAAGGTTAACTATTTCGGTACTATCCCACAGGACAATTGGAGTAATATTTACTTTTTCAAAGATCAGTGATATGGTATTAGCATAAGACTGCATGATGATCTTACAAAGCTACGTAGTAACAATACCCCCTCTGAGACCAGTGGCGAGCAGCGACTCTTTTTTCCCGATACTAAAATCCGACAAAATCATAGCGCCTCCCCTCAAAGTTTTAGCAATTCCTTCGAATCGGCTTAAACGCCTTTCGAAATCCAACATGACGCTACCCAACTCCCAGAATCAGACAAAACCTAAAGCGGAGAAAGGGGGATTCTTCCTCAGCAGAAAGACAATTACTTACCATTTTTGTCCCCTCCGGCGCGAGAACAAGGAGGGGTTCGCAGCAGGCCGCCGCCGCGCCGCGCAGCACCTCAACCTGACTCCCAGGGGCTGGGGGCGCCGCCGACGGAGCCGCCGGGGTTTGACGGCGATGAGCCCGATCCCGCGACCCGCCTCCTCTCCTTGCTGCGCTGCGCGTCGTGGTCTCTGCTGCGCTCTGGCTTTTGCTTTTATGATCAGCGGGGCGCTCACGGGGTGGCAGAGAGGAGAGAGGAGGAGGCGGCGAGGGCGAGGAGGGAACTCGGGTTTTTGGGAAGAGATGGAAAAGACTTTGACTGTTTGCCGTTTCTGGAAACTGACGAGACGACGGGTTTCAATAGCTGGACATTCACTGGTGAGTGAGTAGGTGGGTGGGCAACAAATTTTGTTTTTCTCGTACATACGTACCCCCTCGGTCCTAAATTTTTTGTCTTAGATTTGTCAAGATACGGAAGATACGGATGTATCTAACACTAAAATGTAACTAGATTCATTTGTATTTAGACAAGTCTAAGACAAGAATTTTGAGACGATGGGAGTATATACAGAGCAAAATGAGTGAATCTATTATCTAAAATATGTCTATATACATCTGCACGTGGTAGTCCATTTAAAATTTCTAAAAAGACTTATATTTAGGAACGATGGGAGTACATTCATCCTTATCAAAACACGCATGCACATCTTACTCGTATGAGCACCTAATTATCGGGAACGTCACCTCCCACCGAATGCAAATCACCGGAAGGTTTAGAATAAATCCATGAAAATGCAAGCACCACTGTTAAGTCTGAGACTTGAACTCTGTTGGACAGAGGATATTATTGTTCTACTAATCATTTAACCACATGTTGGTTCGTGGAACAAATTTTGTTGGACAACAACATATCATTCTTCGCGAACCAATATGTGGTTGGATGGTTAGGTGGACAGTGGTATTCCCAGCCCATCAGGGTTCAAGTCCTGATGCTCGCTTCAGGATTCTCAGCGATACGCGTTCAATGGGAGGAGACGTTCACGTTGACTACGAGGTGTCTATGATGACTTCGTAAAATCTCAAGATGATATGCCGGCCTAATCTCTCAGAGGTGCTCATAATGATAGGGTGTGCGTATGTGCATTCATAGAGGTGAGTGTATGCGCGTATATATAAGCGATTGTGTTGATGTTAAACAAATATTTCATTCTTTGCAAACCAACGTGTGGTTAGATGATTAAAGGTACAGTGCTATCTCCAGCCTGTCAGGATTCAAGTCCTGATGCTCGCATTATTCCTGAATTTATTTCAGGATTTTCGCCGATGCGCTTTCAGTGGGGGAGATGTTCCCGTCCACGACGAGGAGCCTACGATGACTTCGTAAATCTCAAGATGATATGACGGCTCAGTCTCTCAGGTGCTCATAGGGGCAGGGTGTGCGTGTGTGCGTTCATAGGGGCATGTATATGAGCGCTTGTGTCTGTACTGATATTAAAAATATATTTCATTCTTCTTTACCATAATAATAATATGCTTTTAATACTAACATCAGCAAATATTCATGAAATGGAAATTAGGCAAGATATTAATTGCGCGCATATATTAGGTAGGATATTATATACGCATTAATTGTATGACTAGCGCTCATGTTGATACTTGGTATAATATTAATTGGGCGTTGAACACGTCGAACGCTCACCATTGGGGCAATCTATGTCGTTGATTGAACTGGTCTGATGGTCAAGATTGATTGGATTTGCCCTTGGGTCTTTTTATATTGGTATATAGACATAATAATCATATGATTTTAATAGTTACATCACCAATTACTCATGAAATCGTGGTTACACTGAAATTAGGTAGGTCATTAATTGCACGCATATACTCCCTCCGTTTCCAAATATAAGTCTTTCTAGAGATTTTAACAAGTGACTACATACGGAGCAAAATGAGTGAATCTACACTCTAAAATATGTCTACATACATTCGTATGTGTAGTCCATTTGAAATGTCTAAAAAGACTTATATTTAGAAACGGAGGGAGTATTAGGTAGGATATTATGTACACATTAATTGTGTAACTAGCGCTCCTGTTGATATTTGTTATAATATTAATTGCATGTTGAACACGTCGAACACTCACCATTGGAGCAATTTAAGTCGTTGGATTGAACTGGTTTGAGGGCTAAGATTGATTTGGTACACCCTTTTGGTTCTTTTATATTGGTATATCTCAACTAATTCAAAAGAACGTAAGATTCCCATCTCACCTCTTTTTCGTCCAACTTTTTTTATATACGTCTCACTCTTTTCTTCTCATCTTTATTTTTTCCTCCCATTTGTGATTTTTCTCCTATCAATTCTCCCTAAAATAGAATCAATTGTCTCATGTTTTATTAACTTACCATAAGAAAAACATATTCTGTTTGGTAAGCCATTAAATTCTTAGCAAATAAGTACTTAACAATAAAATCTCTATCTTCTCTACTTATTACTTAAAAAGAACGCAAGGTTCTCATTTCACCTCTTTTTTGTCCAACTTTCCTTATATACGTCCCACTCTTTCCTTCTCCTTTTTGATTTTTTCCTCCCATCTCTGATTTTTCTCCTATCCATCATCCATAAAATAGAATCAATTGTCTCATGCTTTATTAACTTACCATAATAAAAACATATTCTGGTTGGTAAGTCATTAAATTCTTAGCAAATAAGTGCTTAACAATAAAATTGCAGTAAATCATGACGATTGCATAATTTTTTTGCTAGTAACTAGGCCAAAGATGATTGACTTCATGCCATTGGTGGATTGCATGGAAAGAAGAATGAAAACAAGTTCCTCCTTCCTCAATCAAGGTGAAAGATTGCAGTTTCTAAATTCTGCTTTGTCCTCTATGCCCATATTCTATCTTAGCAGTTTGCTAGTCCCCCTTGGAATTCTAAAATAACTGGAGAGAATCCAAAGACAATGTCTATGGAGAAAGCATAGAGATGAGCCCTCACAATCTTTAGCAGCATGGGACCTGATCTGTAGGCCTAAAAGCAAGGGGTTTAGGGATTTTGAACTTGGGGGTCCAGAATATTGCTCTATTACTCAAGCATATGCATAACTTTTTGAACAATATGGATCTGCCATGGGTATCTCTTGTTTGGAATACATATTATCATGGGAGGGTACCACAGGGTACTGCCAGCTGTGGATCTTTTTTGGTGGAAAGATATATGCAAAATGCTGGATCATTTCAGAAACACAACTCAGGTGCAAATTAACTATGTAGATTCAGTTCTGTTTTGGTCTGACCGATGCAAGCTTGGTGATTCTATGACAACTTGCAATCAAGGTTTCCAAGGCTATTTTCGTATGTGAAAGATCCATGGATAACTGTACCTGAAGCTTTTCAAGCACATCATATCTCAGAGATGTTTCATTCACCTTTGTCTGAACAGGCATATATGAATATATGGAAATTTAGGCAATGATGACCACTCATAGCAGAGATTTTGATGCAACATATCTGGTACTTGAAGGGGACATGCAATGCTTTTAAACCTAAATTATTTAATTCCTTCATGCATTCTACCTTGTCATTTAATCCTCTGCTGCTATGGATCTAGAAATCATCATGCGCAATGAAATTAAAAGTGTTTGCTTGGATGTTGATCATGGACAGGCTTAACACTAAAGATATGGTTGATAGGAGGCATTGACATATGGATGATGGGGTTAATTGTGTTCTTTGTCCTCTGCTAACAAGGGAAACCAGAGACCATCTGTTCTTCCACTGTAATTTCAGTGTGAGAGTCTGGAATTATCTTCAAATCTGTTGGCCATAGGGAGATGATATGAGCAACATTGTGCTACAAGCTAAACGAGATTTTGCAAAACCTTTCTTCACTGAGCTGTTTTTTGTTGCATGCTGGAACATCTGGATAGTCAAAAAAATGCTAAGGTGTTCAGGCATGAAAGGCCTAGCTTTAATAAATGGAGAAGTGCTTTCATCCATGATATTACTCTCATGCAGCATAGAATCAAACATGTCTTTAGAGATGAGTTATTGAGATGGATTTCTTTTCTTCCTCCTTAAGGTATTGTCTTGTAGTTCACTAGTTTTTTAGTTTACCACTTTGATTACCTCTTGTAATCCTTGTAATTTGTAACTCTTCTTGGCAATACAGTTAAAGTGCTGGGGGGGGGGTTCTCTATAGTTTATAGTAAATAAAAAATAGGCTGAATTAGAAGCTAGTAACAATAGGCTGAATTTTTTAGCGAATCCCAGGTGAGGTTGTTGTTGTGTTGGATAGATGTGCCCTTGATTGGTTACTTCATGCAATTTCATCAACATAGACACATAATTCAAAATATCACCTTGGTATAATTCTAGTCACAAATAATTCAAAAGACCACCTTGGTATAATTCTAGTCGAATATCTTAATGCACTTACTACACTTGAACAATATAAGATTTTCACAGAAGCCTGGAAAATAGGCATCTAGTTCTAATACGATCCTTAGAAAAAATAAATATGGTATCCACAGAAACCTTTTATGCTCCTACTAAATAAATTGCTTTCCCTTACTGTTGACTTTAGACATCGTATTCTCCATTCCAAAAGTGGCATCTTAAAGCACTTACTATACTTGAACAATGCGATTTTCACGGAAGCCTGTAAAATAGGAATTTAGTTCTTAAATGCTCCCTATAAAAAGCAAAAGTGGTATCGACAAAAAACCTTTATGCTCCTATTGAATAAATTACTTTCCTTACCTTTGAATTTAGACCGCATCTTCTTTGTTCCAAAAGTGCTATCTTAACGTACTTACTGCACTTGAACAATGAGATTTTTGCAGAAGCCTGGAAAATAGGCATTTAGTTCTAATATTCTCCCTAGGAAAAACAAAAATGATATCAACAGAAACCTTTTATGCTCCTAATGAACAAATTATTTCCCGTCACCATTGATTCTAGATTTCTTCTTCTCTGCTACAAGAGTGGCATCATAATGGACTTACTACACTTGAACAATGAGATTTTCATGGAAGCCTGTAAAATAGGAATTTAGTTCTAATACGCTCCCTAGAAAAGATGAAAATGGTATCAACAGAAACCTTTTATGCTCGTACTGAATAAATTACTTTTCCCTAAGCTTCAATTTTAGATCTTGTCTTCTCTGTTCCAAAAGTGGAGTCTTAACGCACTTAGTGCACTTGAACAATGAGATTTTTGTAGAAGCCTGGAAAATAGGCATTTAGTTCTAATATGCTCCCTAGGAAAAACAAAAATGATATCAACAAAAACCTTTATGCTCCTAGTGAATAAATTACTTTTCCTACGTTTGATTTTAGACCTCGTGTTGTCCGTTCCAAAAGTGGCATCTTAACGAACTTACTACACTTGAACTTGAGATTTTCACAGAAGCCTGGAAAATAGGCATTTAATTCTAATATGCTCCCTAGAAAAAACAAATACGGTATCAAGACAAACCTTTTATGCTCCTAATGAGTAAACTACTTTTCCTTACCTTGGATTTTACACCTCGTCTTCTCCGTTTCAAAAGTGGCATCTTAACGCACTTACTACACTTGAATAATGAGATTTCCGCAGAAGCCTGGGTAACATGCATCTAGTTCTAATTTGCTCCTTATAAAAACATGGTATGAGTAGAAACCTTTTTTGCTCCTAGTGAATAAATCCTTACCTTTGACTTTGGATCTCGTCGTTTTAGTTCGAGATGTAAATGGAGAATGGCCTAATAGTTGGGCAACGACTATGGTTCGTCGGGAATACGCGAATGGTGCAGCGCATAGGTGCCTTGGAATACCACAGATCTCACCTAAGAGGAAAACATAGACAATGGCTCACAATTATGAGGGCAAACATATCAAGAGAGTGGCGGTGGCAGCAGTGGGTGGAGGAGAAGATAGTTTGATCTAGATAATGTTCGTGGTTGCGGTGGAGGAGAAGATTGTTAGGTCTAAAGAGTGGTGGTGGCGGCGAAGGGTGGAGGAGAAGATGGTTACATCTAGAGAATATTGGTGGTTGAGGTTGGAGGAGAAGATAGTTAGGTCTCGAGAGTGGTGGCGGCGGTGGGTGGGGGAGAACATAGTTAGGTCTAATGTTGATGGTTGTTTCATGTGGGCAAGGTGGCTTTATAGCTGTGCGGTTTGGGACTAGGAGCGCGGCTGCGATCCGTGTTATGCAGGGTGCGGGTCGTCGAGTGAGAGATGGGTGGCGGGGAATGGGAAAAAGGGTTGCGCGGATACATGACGTGGCGGGGAGGTGTGTTTCATTTTTTAGGGTGAGGAGGGGTGCGGCGATGCAAGGAGGACGTGCATCCCGGGTAGGTGGATGGCAGGTGGTACCAAATGGTTTTTGGATGGATTGTGTTTGCGTACGGTGTTTCTCAGTGCCACAAATTTTCCGATGGATTTCTGGTTGGTGGGCCAGTGAGGTGTGTGCCTGTGACGAGACTAGTGCGAAGGTGTAAACTCAGGTTATTGCTAGAACAATTTGGAAATCATATTTCTATGTCTTCCATGATCAATTGATATCACTGTGTTTCTTTCAAGTATTGTATAACACACCTCAACAAAAAAGCTACTCCATCATTTCAATTGATACACCTCAAACGGATCTATAATTTTTGTTGTTCTATGATGTTATATTATCACTTTTGTATACTTTTTATACCAATTTATATTGTTTTTCTGGACTAACCCATTAATTTAGTGCCTGGTGTTAGTTCCTTATTTCTGCATGATATTTTGGTTTTGTAGGAAATCAATATCTACAAAGGTCAAAATAACTTGTTGATTTAATTTGATTTTGTGGGTAACAGAGGACCCAAGAAGCTCCGGGGGAGATCGTGAGGAGCCACACGGGGCACACAACCACCTGGCACGCCCTAGGTCGTGTGGGGTTCACCTTCATCGCCATTTGTCCATTCAACCGCTATAAATTCCTACAAAACCCTCTGCCATATTTATAGAAGAATTTTTCCGCCACAGCAAGTTCCTGTTTCATGAAAATCCAATCTGGAGGCTTGTTCCGGAGATCTGCCGGAAGGGGAATCCATTGCTAGAGGATCCTTCATCAACCTTACGGCCTCCATGACTATGTGTGAGTAGTTCCATTAGGACCTTAGGGTCCATAGTAGTAGCTAGATGAATCTATCTCTTTTTGGATCTTCAATACCACCAGATGACCCATTGCGCCAATTGGCCTAGAGACCAACGCCAACCTACAAGTTAAGCGGACTATACGAAACCTAGAACGGAAGTCAAGTGAAATATTTGAAGAGACCAAGAAGATAAACAACTAATACAACAAAAATGGGTGAATTGTTTGATGGTGCACAGACCAACTGCAACCCAGAAATTAAGTGAGATATATGAAACATAAAATGGAAGTTAAGTAAACTATTTGAAGGAAGTTTTTCATGAATGGTCTGACTATGGTTATGTTTCTATTACATTGTTTCTACCCCATACATTTATCAAAGACAAACAATAACAATTGATGCAGAAACCAACTGCAGCCCGGAAGTTAAGTGAACTATTTGAAGGATCTTTTCCCCAACTATCTGCAAATGATTATGTTTGTACTGTATTGGTATTTTCCTTGACAACGTTCATTCCAATAGCTTTATTTGGTGACACATAAACCATTTGCTTGAGCAGGAAAATGGGCTCTAAAGTTATTTTTTTGATGCTCACTCGGGAAGAAGATAGGTAAACCATCTGAACCATATTTTTTCACGATCATTCATAGAACACCATCATGATTTTTGGGGGGATGTACCCCGGGTAGCCTCATCCGCACCCAATAATGTTTCAAGACATCGGGGCTAGCAAAGCCCCTCATGTTGACTGGCCGCGTGGCCGGCTCCCTGGGCCAGCTGGGACCACGCGATCGACTTCCAGAAGACGGCGCACTCTCAGAAGGCGGCTTTGGGGGCGGGACAACTCCCAGCACTTGGCCCCTCCTCCTCCTCGGAGTCTGCACTCACCCACCACGATGATACGGGGCGTGGCTATAGTAGCGCCTGCTCCCTCGAATCCCGGAGGGTCGTGGCTACAGTAAGCGCTGACCAAGCGGCCACCTACCCGCATGGCGCGGGACTGTAGCCATACGACACATGACGCGGCCCTCGTTAGCAAGGACCATGCTACAACAAAAGGAAATCACCATGACCCGCAGGCGGCGGGCCCTACCAATCGGTCGGATTCTTGGCAGCCGGCGGGGCCCTCCAGAGGCAGGCCTCAGCAGCCGGCGGAGAACCCGATGGCCTTAGACACTGACGCCTGGGTCCTATACCCGGCTGTATTACCATTGTACCCCTGGGGTGTTGGCCTATAAGACCCCCCGGGCTCACGCATGCAAAGGGTTCAACTCTCATTCCACACACACCATAGCTAGGAGAAGAGGGAGAGCCCTACCCTTCTTCCTCCTCTAGCAATACATGTCCAGGAGCAACTCTGTATACTCTTGATCATAATCATCATAGCAGGACTAGGGGTGTTATCTCTCCGGAGAGCCCCGAACCTGGGTATGTCTTGTGTGCTCCCGAGCTCATGGGAACTCTCGCTTTCGGAACTCGACGACGTCCTCATGGATCCACCCATGATAAGCCACCCCCTAGCATCTGCCATGAGATTACCACGACAGTTGGCACCCACCATGGGGCCATCCGCAGCGTCGACCGGAGTTGTGTTCCGGATGGGAACCATCCTTCCCTCCAGCGAGCGCGTCGCATCTGGCCTGATCATCGATGACCCGCTATAACACCCCGGATGTAACTTTCCGTCTTTGTAACTCCAACTCTTGCCATTTTCGGCGATGTGATATGTATTTCCCTCCGTGGTTGGGTTTTGCCTTTTGTTTTGCATTTTATTCATGTCATGCATCTCATATCATGTCATCATGTGCATCTCATTTGCATACGTGTTCGTCTCATGCATCCGAGCATTTCCCCCGTTGTCCGTTTTGCAATCCGACACTCCCACATGCACCGGCGCACCCCTCTTGTCTCTTTTCATGTGCGGATGTTGAACGTTCTCGGAATGGACCGAGCCTTGCCAAGTGGCCCTGGTATAGCACCGGTAGACCACCTGTCAAGTTTCGGGTCATTTGGAGCTCGTTTGATACTCCAACAGTTAACCGCACTCCCGCAAAGGCCGCTTTTAAGTTGCAGCCCAACACCCCTTCAAAACAGCCCAATAACCCATCTAACTCCCCTCCATGCTCTCGGTCGTTCAATCACGATCGTGTGGGCGAAAACCGCACCTCTTTTGGACACTCCTAGCTCCCTCTACCTCTATATATAGACCCCTCCACCGAATTCCGGACGAAACCCTAGCGAATTCCCCTTCTGCCGCCACCGGACACGTCCGGCCGCAGTCGGACACGTCCGGGTCGCCCCGCTGCCACCATGTGTCACGCCGCCATTCGCCCGCGCCGCCGCCGCGCCACCCCCCCACCGTCGGCCCGGCGAGACCCGGATCGGGCCCCCCCGAGCCCATCTCCATCGCTCCGCCGCCCCGCGGTCCGCGCCCTCTCCTCCGCCGCCGTCTTCGCCCGCCGCCGCCGTCGCCTCGGTGCACCGCCGCCGTCGCCTCGGTGCACCGCCGCCGTCGCCTCGGTGTGCCGCCGCCGCAGGACTCCTCCGCCGCCGTCTTCGTCCGCG